GAAAGGAAAACCGATGAAAAAAAGAAAGTAAGGCAAGGTCATTCTCAACCAATCATGTGGGGCCTGTGTTGACCAACCGATACTCAAGTGCATACGTGACACTCAGCATCTGGCTACCTATGTGTTTGGGATTATTCGTCATTTGGTACACCGGCTTGAGATCTTCGCGTAGCCATACACTGAAAACTTCCATTCCTTTCGGCCTTTTCAGGCATGGGAGGTTTCGTAGATTCTTGACTTTCTTTGTTACTCGGCGTTGTTTGGCCAATAGCACCGCGAAGAATCATTACAGTCGATTTTTTCAGCCTTAGATAACAAACTCGATGTCTGGCATTACGTGAAAATTGTACATCACGGGAAAGATGGATGAATAAAAGCACCCGAGTGCGTTTTGCAGCAAACCAGCGTATTGAATGCTCCTATATGAGGCCAACTCAGACTACTTTGAGCAGCTGAGGGCACTATGTATAAGCCCAACAAGCTCACATTTGCAGCTTGTTTGTCGCACACACGGCTGTAATGCTTTCCTTACCAGCACATTACATATCTTATTCCCACACACCTATACACCTAATATGTAAAAAAAGTGCGCCTGTTCCTATTGCATGGGCAAAGTGGCCACCAGTGCGTTGTGTCCCCATTGAAATGTTGGGATCGCTGCTGAGACTGCAATGTCGTTAATAAAAAGCTTTCAGGTAAGTGACCGAAATGTCACTACAGACACTTACTTCATAGGTTTAAAACTTGCAAAAAGCATGAGCAAGACAGAATTCACCCTCTTTGAAACATTAAAAAGAAATAAGATTTCTACCGAAGGTTTTCTAAAAAATACGATTCTGCCACTGAATGATTCAAAGTTTGTATTCGGGTCGGAAACAACACTTTTGAGCTATCAAAATAAGAAAAACAAGGATATGTTACTGTTAATTATCATGCATACCAAGCCCTAGGCTCAAAATGATGGCGAAAGAAAAAGCCAGTGACTGTGATTTATTATAACCACACTGGAGGTGTGGTTGATACCATGGACTAGATAGCAAAAGCTTTCACTGTCAAGCTCAGGACTATTATATGTGCCACTGGTGACCTACTTTAACATCTTGGATATGTCACCTATCGCAGCGGGAATAGTCTTCAAACATAAAAACTCATCAAACACCCCCCTCTCACGAAGACAACTGTCAACAATTCAAGATAAATGTAGAGATCTCTCGGAACCAGGCAGATCAATAGAAGCGTAGCAGTGCCAACTCATCAGGATCATGTGAGATAAAACATCGCAACTGTTTTGCAATTTTTGGAACCAACCCTAATCATCCCACCAACCTCAGCCACGGCTTCAAGGTGAGTAAAAACTACCGAAGATGTTCAAAAATCAAAGCGCTGCTCCCTTTGTCCATCCACGAAAGGCAGGAAGACCAAATCCCGGTGTTACGTATGTGGGACCTACATCTACAAATAACACACTGCCCTTCAGTGCAAAAATTTTTCTTACTGATGTCTTGTCAGAATTAGTAAATTCAAACATTTCCCCATCACTTTATTTTTTTCCTTTGTTTGAGTCTTGGAGACAGATTAATGTATTTGGCCAACTGCCCGAAAACAATTTCGATTTTAATTTGAATAGCCTTATAATCATCCATATTCAGCTTTCCAGCTGAATTCATGTTTGCTGTTATTGCTCCTTCTTTTTCTCTTATGTGCACTTGTGGGGGCTGTAGGAAAATGTTTCAACCGAGTTAATGTCACATTTTCGCACTGCAGACAACTTTTGATCAGTGAATATGTTCACTATACCTATCGTGAGGAATATTGAAGTGTGCTCATGTTGCCATCAAACGAAGGTGGTCTCCGGGTGTATTGCACTCACTCGGTGGGGAATGGGTTAAGCATGTCGTTGGTGTATGCCAACCAAAAGCAAACCCCTCAAGAATACTATTACCTCACTGGGTGTGGGGATCGATATGTAAGCTTAGTGAGTCGAATGGCATAGCCAAACAGGTTTTTCAGCTACCATATGTCGGTGAAAGTTCAAGACCGCCTACGAGATTCGTTACCATGAGATGCTACGCTAAAAAAATTACACATACCTTTTGAGTTCAACGGCTAGACCCTCTCTAGGGTTTCATTCACTCAGGTCCAACACGGGTGACGACCTATACTAAGCAGAGCGGAGTGCTGTACTGCTTCTACTGCGGTCCTGATGCCTACGGTCCGCTCTGCTTGACGACCAATGCAACCTTGAAAACCCAAAGCCAAGTCTTGGTAGACGGTGTGTATACTATGGATGGAACCGTTCTACCTAAATGTCAACCATACATTCCAATTATGGAGATTCTGATCTTCTCATCTTCGGCGTTCTGGCCTCAACCAATATGGCGATGTTCCGCTTGGTGGTTTTACCAGATTCGGCCGTTTGTTCGCGACAGAGCACGGCCCTCGTTCACTCGGTCGACGCTCACCCGCGTTTGCCAGCCAGTCATTTCTCGCCTGTGTTCCATGGTTGGTCGGCCCTTCGTGTCGGACGCGAGCGAAGTGAGTTCAAGCTGTCGACACGGCCTAGTGTCGTATTCTCCTCGTTTAGCCGCCTAATGCGTAGTGTCTGATTAGATCAGTTTAGACGTCTCGAGTCCACGCGGTTGCCCCGGACAAGATAGTTGTTAGTTGCCACTAGGCATCACATGGTTGACACCTACATTACTCACTCCGAGAAATGCTTCAGACGTACTGGCGCACGGAGCCCGTCAACCTGTTATTGTTGTGGACTCGAGTTGGACACATCTCTTATGTTTGATAAGGCTTTCATCCCAACAGTTCACAAGTTACATAGCAGAGCCTAGTCCGGAAAAGCATCTGCCTCTAGCGGTCATGGGTTCGATCCTCACTAGAGGACTGAGGGAATGCGCGCCACTGACGAGCCCCAATAGGGCGAAACGCGTCTGGCGCTTTTCCGGACTAGGCTCTGCTATGTAGCTTGTGAACTGTTGGGATGAAAGCCTTATCAAATTTACAACTAAAATCCTGCGACTCATGAGTACATCTCTTATGTATGTAGAAACACTGGCTTCACTTCCATCTGCATGGGCAATTTATAGTTCGACAAACCACTGGGTCTCGAACGGTCTGGACGAACTTCCTCACCGTTCAGTTGATGTATACTTACAATGAAAGTGTTAGTAGTTCGGCCCATTTCCACATTGTTCCAATACTTTTTTGTAGGATATGCTGCACCTGCATCTGCGTATTCAGCAGTGTCTATGCTAAGAACCGGCCACTCTATATCATTTCCGAGTCATGTTAGGCCATAACGGAATCAATTTAGGTTGTAAAGATTTCGAATTGAACCTTTACCATTTTCAACTTCATTCATTCCACACATCGGCCAGCGCATGGAATAGATGAACTTTAAAATGATAATGGCTCCATTTGAAATCTTTACGACCTAAATTGATTTCGCTATGGCCTAAAATGACTCGGAAATGGTATAGACGGAAGCTGGCTACATTCTAGCGCAGTGGTCCTCAAACCGGTGGGTAACTACCCCCAGGGGCGTAAAATGGAATTTTACGAGGGGAAATAGAAGTACGAGGATCTGTCATCAAACAAAATTACAAGCCGAATCATCTATATCAGAACATGTAACTAACTTACTAATCACCATTGACTAATCATTATTAAGTGCTCATTCAGTGATTTAGACAGTTTTCGGTAATAAATTGTAATACCTAAATTACGAGCACAAGCATGCAAAGCAGTGCAGTTAGCTGGCGCCCCTATTGGCTCGCTGGTTGTTCGTTGTTCTTTTGTGTCAGGCAATCGGGTCGAATTATAGAGGTGAGTGAACACTAAGGTGGAACCATAAGTCAGCCGACCAGGTAAAGAGATGAGCGAATGTTTACAAGTTAGGAGGGACAAAATAGACGATTAGTGTCCATGATGTATCGATTTCGAGTGGTGGTGGGAAGCTGTCCTTCAGGACAAACTTGGAAGAGATGACTGTAACGAACAATAAGCCACTGATATCTGTTTATATTTGATTAGGGATCACACAACAATGCAAGGAATCGAATGAATTTGGAGCACGATGTGCACTAGTCGAAACCGCACCAACCTTACCAGAAATTAGGACTAAGCAATATCAACTGTCTACCTGATGTACATCACCACTTGATTATTTAAAAATCACACTAAATAGGAGTATTCTTTATTTGTGTTCTCGAAAGCAATTTAAAATGTATTCATTTTCCACAATTCAAAACAAAAGATGTATTAGTTAATGGGTAATTAACTTTTTAAGCTAAACTTTTTGAGGAGTACTTGTTTAAAGTGAACCCGGTTTGTGAGTACTTTCCACAAAAAAGTTGAGTGCCACTGCTGTAATGTGTATCTCTGTAGTTTACGGAACACTTTTCCACTCCTGATGAAATTGACTCACGTTTCATAGGCCAATCCTTTTAGAGTCAGCGCATTTCGCTCGTTAACAAACTTTCTCTCGGTCATTATGTGTACGGTGCTCCAGTGAGAATAACCTAGCCGATTGAGTTAGTAGTTTTTCATATTTCCACTACTAAATACATCAGTTTGTTTTTTGAAACACTCCTAACCATCTCTCTCGTCGACAGATTTAAATAAGTAGCTTCCATTTTCAATGCCTGTGGTAAAAACGCGTCTTTTCACCATTACTGTCGTTCATTCTTCTGCATGCTCGTTGCAGCATCCAGTTCACAGTAGAGACAAAGTCATGTCTCACCACTTTCCCTATATATTCATTTTAATTCCCCAGTACGAAGCACCAGTACTTTTTATTTGGTCATCTCTTCGATTCCGCTGCTAATACTCCTGACCTTCAATGTATTACACGTGGATGTACCGCCAACAAATTTGCAAGTATACCCATTTACCTCGTGACCAATCGACCTCGGTCAATCCTTTGCTTGGTCATAAATTGCCTGCAAGTTGTATGTGACCGCGGTTGATCATGATCTCGATTTATTTTGTAGCTCTGTTACAATGGATCTTGCCTCACTCTTGCTGAACTTCCAACTAGTCAATCATGCAATTGTCGCGGTCCTGGGGTAAGTTCCAATTCCAATTCCACTAGTGTCATCATATAGGAATTGGAATTTTGCGTACTCATTGTTATCATATCAATCTCTTTTGCTGGCCCAAGCGGAGCTGGATCGACGAAGATGGCAACGCTGACCGATCCTGGTACTATCTAGTGAAAACCTAAGTTTTGTACTTAACGAATTGGTAGGTGTTGCTGTGATCGATCTCGGTCCTGTTCAGACTTTTCAGGTGGAGATAACTGAAGCGTGGAATTAAATCCGCGATGGACTTTTTCACTTCTAGACCACCATAACCAAACTAAACCTTACCGTGGTGCGATGGTTTGCATGCTTCAGCGATCCATTGAGCTATGCTTGGTGGGGCGTTTTGCACCTTCAGCATCACTTATACCAGATTTGTCAAAGGTTAGAGAATGGACAAACTCTGTCTCCTCGTCCTCCAGATCGGGGGTTGGAGTGTGGGTGGCTTCTTATTCCCTAAAACTGACTCTGTATGGCGCAGTGCCACAACTCTGCCGGATTGCGGTAAGGTTTTCTACCAAAGCCTTCAGTTGAGAACCCTAATCATTCTTTTGTCTAGGTCTAGGCAATTTGACTGTATTATGCGCACGCAATACAATTTTCTTTCTGACCTGATAAACTACGCGGATTACAGAACTACAGCGTCACGAACGATAAGTCCTCCTTTTTAAAGTATTAACTGGTTTATTATATTTTTCCTTAACCTCACACACTACACGCACTATACACGTTAGCCAGAGGTGGGAAACACCTCAGGTACTGTGCCACAATATCTAAAAGAAAAAGGGTAATAAAATGCAACAGGTGCAAGCCAGCTGAGCTATCGGTAATGGATGGGCATCGTTCCGGTATGCTACCTGCCGGCTACTATGCAGCAGCAAAGAAAATAATTTACTATGCAAAATTATAAGATGCTAAATGATGAGATCGTGGTTGGAGGGGGAGGCTAAGGGGGATGTGGTGGGACAAAGAAACTCACAGCACGAACACCATTGAGATCGGCTCCTATCCATATCAACCAGTGTATCCAGCCAAACGTGTTCATCGTCTTTCGGACCCCAACCAGGGAGCCGAGACTCTCTAACTGAGGCCAGCTTCGAAGTGAGGGCCTTCATTCCTCTCGACCAAGGCACCGCTTGACCACCCTTCTTCTTCTTCTTCTTCTTCCATCCACACCCCCGGCGCGCAAACAACGCATGTCGCGGGTCGGTGGATTGGCATACGTAACACATGGCCAAGCCACTGGAGCCTGATGCGTGAGATAACGGCGCTGAGCGGTTCAGTTCCTTTTCTTGTGCCATAAACAAGGCGTCGAACACGCTCGTTGCTCACGCTGTGTTCCCACCAGATGTGAGCCAAACTACGAGGGCACCAGTGGTCGGACATAACTAGCCTCCTTATGTCGGCTGATTTAAAAGGCCAGGTTTTGCAACTTTACAGTAGAGTCGAACGTACCTCTGCATTATACACTATCCTTCAGAGCGAGAGAGATGTCGCGCCGGCGCCATAAGTGGCGAAGGTTAGCAAAAGCGCCTCGAGCTTTTGCTATACGGTTCATGATCTCAACTTCGATCCAAAGATCGCTGATACAAATCCCTGGTACTTGCATATCTAAATGACTTCTAGCTGATCCCCACCAAGCGTCAATAAAGGAGGCGGTCCAGGCCAATCTTGGAGATAGGCTTTGCACTTCGATGGTGCAAAGCAAAGCCCGAAGCGGCTGACAGCCAATGCTAATCTGTCCAGTGCCGCTTGGCACGTCTGGAAGCTGTCACAGATTAGGGCAATGTCGTCAGCATACTCCAAGTCAAGAAGTCGTTCTCCTGGGAGCAAATCCACACCTTCTAAGTCGTGTCCTGTGAACACGATTTCCTTGACTTCATCAATAGCGAATTTGAAGAAGAAAGATGACAGCGAGCATCCTTGTCTCACACCGCTGGAGATATTAAAGGGCGACGACAACTTGCCGTAAGCCCTCACTCTGCCTGAACTACGCGCGTATAATTATTGGATAATATTTACATATTTCTCAGGTACACCTTTCCTAAGTAGACAGTGCCAAAGTGCACGTTTATCCACCGAATCGAACGCACCTTTGATATCGAGGAACACGACAACGGTGGGCCGCCAATATATGTGACGGTGCTTCAACAACTGACGCAAGGTGAAGATGTGGTCAATGCAGCCTCGACCTCGACGAAATCCAGCTTGCTCTTCTCGAATCTGGCTTTCACGAGTGCCAGTCAGTCTGTGAAGGATGAAAGAGGTAAGCGATTTGGGGACGATGGAGATCAGACTGATTCCTCTATTGTTGCCGCATTCCGATCGTGAGCCTCCCTTGAAAATTGGGACTATGACGGAGCGGCTCCAGTCGGTTGAGAGAGTTTCATGTTTGCACAGTTTCACTATTAACTCGTGTAAATCATCCATAAGAGCAGGTCCCCCGAATTTGAATAGAGCTGGAGGTCGATCATCTGGTCCCGCGGCTTTATTTAACTTCAACAGTGCGATCTCACATTCGATAATTTCACCAACTATTTAGCGGGACTTGTGAAGCACTGCTTCCTAACCTGTATAAATTCCTTGTTCGCTGTTCTGTAGGATAACAACATGGATGTTCTCAACTTAGTTTTTACCATTCGGCTAAGTTTTCACACACCAAACGATTTCGCAATAAGTGGCGGGAAGTCAGCGATGTAAGAACTAAGAACTAAGTTGTCACACACACACACACACACATATATATATATATATATATATATATATACATGGTTGGCGGCATCCGGTTTCCGATTTGCCTGTCACTGTTGCCAGCCACAGGACGCCTGCGCCTACAGAGAGACCATGGGTGGCTTGCGCTGCACCACCCACAGCTCCAACCACACACCCCGTATCCAGTGTAAACCCGAAGGAATAAGACCGGAAGGCATGCAGATGGGAGCCACGTTTCATCAACGGAACCGGCCCACACTCCTTCACAGGCAAACACAAGCACACTGTATTTGGGGAATCAAGCGCACACAAGGCGGTGACTAGACCGTAGTCCGCTCCACACTGAGGGCATGGAAGCACTCTTCGAGCCTAGCACGACCACAAGGACCGTGCACTCCGTCCCCTCCAGTAACGACCAACTGTCTCCTGGAGCCAGTATGGACGAGGTAGTGGGTAATAGACAGGTAGGCACCTTGTCAACATGCACATCAAGCGCAGCCACACCTGGGATGTCAAGCAACAGCCAATCATTCGAAATGCGGATATCGAATAAGGTAAGTACATGTGACGACATAAATACTCGCTAAATGAGCATATGGAAGAAAATGGTTATAAGTGAATCCGTGATAAGTACAAAATGCCCGAAAGTTATTTAAAAAATACCGCGCGATAAAATTACGAAAGTTACCACAATTTGCGGGAGCGATGTGTGCAAGTAAGGAGAAGATTATGAAGTACGCAGAACAAACCAAATAACATGTAACGAATTTTATCCACATTCAAAAGACCTAGTTTAAGTGTAAGTTGGTTTAGCCCAACTGCGGTGAAGAAGCATCATGAATGCAACATCAGCCTCAGCATGGGATATATATATATATGTATATACATATATATATATATGTATATATATATATATATACATGATTTTTCCAATGAGGCCGGAATGCTTCCGTTCTGCTTGTTGAAGGAGCGTGGGCCGGCTCCGTTGATGAAACGTGGCTCCCATTCACATGCCTCATGGTCTTATTCCTTCGGGTTTACACCAGATATTGGGTGTGTGGGTGGAACTATGGGTGGTGCAGCGCAAGGCACCCATGGTCCCCTTTGTAGGCGCAGGCGTCCTGTGACTGTCCCCATGGACGTCACAGTGACAGGCAAATCCGGATACGGACGCCGCCAAATCATATATATTACAACCGACACGCATGTATTTATAATCTGGATAAAGTCATTCCACTTTATTTGCTTTTTGTTCAGTTTTGTTATTCTGCTGCATATTCTGTGTAAATTTTGCGTGTTCGCTTGCCCTCAGTATCTATGTTGGTTGTTTGATATCTCTGGGGTGGCTATGCTTGATGTGCATGTTGGCCCGGTGCCTACCTGTCTAACACCACCTCGCTTACTAGCTCCAGTAGACTGTGAATCGTTGCTAGGGGGACGTAGTGCACGCTCTTCCGGGCCATTTTAGGCTCGAAGAATGGTTCCATCCAGTGTGGAGCGGACTACCGACCAGCCACCGTCTTGTGTACCTCTGGCACGCATAATTCGCTACATAGGTGGACAGGAATGCTGCTGTTGTGCATGTTGAGGGAGTGTGGACCGGCTCCGTTGATGAAATGTGGCTCCAATCCACATGCCTCTCAATCTTATTCCTTCGGGTTAACTCTGGATATTGGGTGTTTGGATGGATTTGTGGGTGGTGTAGCGCAAGCACCCCATGGTCGCTCTGTAGGCGCAGACGTCCTGTTGCTGTCTTATGGAAGCCCCAGTGAGGTAAATCCGGAATCGGATACCAGCAACCAACTGACTGGTAGCGTGCCTCAAAGCACTGTGCCGGGGCCCACTCTGTTCCTGATCCACATCAACGACCTAAGCTTCTCCGGTCGCCGTGTGCCTTTTTTTACGAATGACATGAAGGTTTGTAGAGAAATTGAAGCTCCCAATGACTGTGGTCTGCTTCAGCAATACCTCAACCGTCTAGCCACATGGTCTGCAGAAGTTCATCTCCCGGTCAACCAAGCCCAGTCTGTATTTATGAACCTGGGGAAGGGTACTGACGGCTGAACCAGCACTCCTGGCGACCAACCGTTATATCCCATACCCTCCGTGAAGGACCTAGGTGAACTCTCGCGCTATTATTTGAACTCCCTGGACAACATGAACAGGCTATATCCTAACGGACTTCGCATGCTTTGGGCGCTCAAACGTAGGTTCGGCACATGGTCTGAAGAGGTTGCCACTCGCCTCTTCTCTTCCAGCATTAGACCAATGCTAGCGTACGGTTCGCCCGCCTACTTTCCGATAACGCGAGGCGTGACACAGAAGATCGAACGGGTCCAACACGTTGCTACCGGGCTCATCCCGAGTTTACATGGTTTGGGGTATGAAGATAAGTGTGAGAAACTAGGACTCTACACCTTGTCATACCGTCGGGTGCGAGTCGACCTCAATATGACCTAACTTATTCTACATCTCGGTGCTTTCCCCATGCTGAGGCCAATGCTTGACATAGGAGGGCCATGCGGCACACGCAGAAACATACAAACTTGTCGTGCCCGATGTGGAACGAGTTCCCCACCCACTATGCTTAGAACGGAGAGTGCTAAATATTTGGAACAGTTTGCCTGGGCATGTGATGGAGATAACATCTGTGCACCAGTTCAAAATGTTGTTAGATTAACATTTCACCATTATTCGATTCATCGAACCATTGCACAATTACGATGACATGTCACATTTGAGTCCTGCAATACCGTGCGTCAATTATTTTAAATGTTACATGATAACGATAACGATATTCACGGCTGACAATTTTTATAATGTTTTGCAACATATTTCGAAATAGTTGTACAGAATTCATTTCTACTTGCTCTATAATACAGTATTCAATATATATATATATATATATATATGTATATAAAGTTAAGCTAATCTTTGGAAGGTCATTAAGTGGTGATTGTAACAACTTTTTCACGCCATCTGTGTTGAACACCTATGGTAGTTGCTTCCTCCCTGACAATTTACGTCTACCTAACCTTTCACATAAATCCATTGGAATACGCGTAGAAGTGCAACCCTATTGTCGTCACTTATAGGGATATAGTGTGTCATTCATTTAGATGATATCTCTCATGCTTTGATGCAGAGTACTCGGAATCAAATGCATGTAATGGACAGGAGAGCTGAAGCTCCGTATGTTCCAGTGGTTAGATTTGCGAAGCGAAAACCATTGACAACCAACTAGCATACACTTGACAATCGAAGATTTGCTCGGTAGAGACATTCACGCACCATTACCCATCAGCATGACTTTTCGCGTCCTGCTTCTCGTATGTTCCTGTGGATTAAATGATGTTTCACAAGGAGTCAACTGCTGTCAACACAGGGGCGGTACTGACAGATTCTGGGACGACATTCCAGTTGTAACATCCACTTAGAGCAAGGCAGTTCTAACGATACTTTAAGTTTGGAACACTGTTAGCCCGGCTTGGTTGCTCACCTGTTGATCGTTTTTCCGAGCTTGCTAAAGGGATCGCATACGTTTCACCATCATGCGAGGTGGCATCTTCAGTGCGGTGATAGGAAGTGTATACACTACCTTTGTTGCACTCTAGATTTCAACCGTGGTACTTTGGGATTTAATGAAATAAAGCCCGCTACTTTGTAGTTGAACACTAATTGCCACGAACTTTGTTACAAGATTTTCTTCGTTCTAATGCCTACCGACGGTTTTATCGGTATTTTGTGCTTTCTCCATTCACTGGTGTATATTTCATCTCTTTATTTTATCACTTCCTCAGATTTGCAACAATCTCGGCCACTGTCACTGCTCTCCCGGGTTCCATGCGCCACATTGCGAACACGGTGGTGACGGTGGCAGTGTCGACAGTGGTCCTCCTCCACGTGGTACGTTTCACTTGTCCGAGTCACATGTCTACCTCCGCCCATCTCTCGTGTTTCATCGTGTCACCTTATCGCACCTTGTGAACATTGCACGTGATGCTATCACGTCGTCCATTGCATGAAATCACTTACTTTTACATATTAACGCATACTCCTCCCGGTGCCATTGTTGTGCTTCGCTTCGGTGACTTGGTGCATTGTGTGCAACCTGAGAGTTTGCTTATTCTGGCACTTGAACCCTCACTTTGTCTTTCATCCCTCAGCGAGTGTCATGTACCTGAGCAACTTTCACTTCGCTTTTTTCTGCAACACTAATTTATCACACAGTCTGAATAACCTAATAACCTGACTTGCTTGCTTGCGTTCTAAACGCAGACGTTTGATGGACACATCAAACCGTTTGACACCGACTTCTCCATTCCATCGTGAAACGTTTAAATTAGCTAACATACAGTTAACATGGGCTTCTTTTGTAATACAATGACTTCTACTTGACAAAATTTAGGGTGCACTTATGAGTCACCCGACCCGGACCAGGGAGCGCTTTCACTGTACTAGTGTTGACGCTGGAAGGGGTACCGGAATTAATAGATTTCGCCCTAGCTACTGGACACACTAAATATAAACTCTTCGTCAATCGGCATACTCATAATATCCTCTGGATAGTTCCGCGCTCATAACTCTCCAATGGCTGTGTGTGACGGGCCTGAGGCAGATCACAGTGGGTCTGTGCAATCACACTTCCTTGCTGGACTTGCTATCCACGACCTTGTGGGTCAGCCTATTGAGCTAAATGCTCCGGGTAGAGTCTTTTAAGCAAATGTGCATATTTCCCACTGCCTTGTGTCAGGTAGTTGAGTCAAAGGCCAGAGGTAGGCCACCTCGAAGAAAACCTCGCAATGGGCAGTAGGAAAGTGTTATCTTCCCATCTCCATCACGTTGACGATGCTCCCTCTTCTTGTTATTTTTCTCTCCTCTTAACTATCTTCTTCGTCATCTATTGAGCAAGAGACTGCCGCTGATCAATCACTTGCTGCCATCGATGCGTGTAGCTCTTCCATCAAACCTATAGTTTCTTTTCACATTGGTTCTTTTAACTCCCGCACTCTGGGTCAAATCAGCCAGCAGGCAGCACTAAATTTCACTCTTCAATCTCTTGGTGTCGATGTGTGCTGTGTTTCCGAAGCACACCTGCAAGATAACAGCGTCGTGATAAATCTTCGACTCCTTGTTCCTGAATTTGACGATGATGGCTGCACTTCTCGCTTCTCTGGGGATACTGAGTCAATGACTCAAGGTATTTACAGTGCCCTCAACAAAGATGCTGAAGGCAATCCGCTCTACTAGATACCGGTGAACAGCCGCATGTGTGCGGTTCGACTTCGCACCTCTATCGGGGGGTACTAAGCACCGTAGGAAGACGAGGTACGTTTTCATCGCCTCATTTTATGCTCCTACTGTTTGCAGTTCGCAGGGTACCAAAGACTGTTTCTATCATCATTTCTTCTCCATATGACGGAGAATACTGGCATCGTGATTGTCACCCAAGTGAGTCGTTGTTCAGATTCTGAACAACACCTGTGAGGCACTTCGCGGTCGATGCACACCGAACGGACAATGCTGATCGATCCCTGCGACTGTGCCCCAACCACAATCTTTATATTGACAGCATTGCCTTCCGATACAAACGTTCATATCACATTACCCAGCGCCCACCGAATTCCTCAATGACCTGGACCCAAATTGGCAATATTGCTATCAGCTACAGATGGCGCATATCAGTCCAAGGTTGTCGGTTAATTTGGAGCACGTGCCTAGATTCTGAACATTGCTCTACTGCGCGCACGCCTGGCGCTCAATCCTCCCGCACCAAAAATTCGCCTATCTTCTACCATTGCCTGCAACTTACAACCACAATCTGCAGTTCACCAAAATCATCACGAACTGACCCATCCAATGTCAATGATGATACAGGTTGGTGAACCGAACGCTGACTAAGAAATTCCTAAAAGTTCCCATGAAGAATGCTTTTGACGCCTGCTTTGCACCCATCTTGATACATCGTGGCCGTGAATCGATTTCTGAGGCATCGATCAGCTCGATCGAAGCAAGGTCAGCTGCACGGTAGCAGCGGGTTAGCTGTACATTCAGCGAGAACCCACTACAAATTTCTGGGGGCATCACAACATATTTCTGGCGACGGGAGATAAACTGATTCAATGTGGCTATCTCAGCAGAAGAGCAGGAAGCTATTTTGCTCCAACAGCAGCAGCAGTTTGAGACCTCACAGCTGCGTATGATCGAGACTTTCACTCGAACACTGTCACTCTAAGTATGCAACCATCTCTTCGGAGTGAATGCAGATGCTCCTTCACATCCAGCAGTCAATGTTTGAGGAATCACGGCGGCGATTGACAAAGATGCTGACACAGAAGGTGAACATTCAAGCAGATTGTATACTTGAAACAGAAATCACATCAGAGCACATTGCAGGTGAATGTTACAAGTAGCTCGACTTGGGATTAGACACCAAAAAGCTTGAAACTTCAAATGCCAGATGTGAACTCCAGATCCCCCACACAGCTAATGGAGGCCACAATGCGAATCACTACGGGCCGAAGCAAAAGCTCCCCACTGCGATTATTTCCGCATTCTGCAGGGATCAAAGCGCACCAAGAGGCCCTTTGTCGTTGGACAGAGAAATTGCTTGCGAACCGAAATGCAAGGGTCTGCAACTCCGTGCAACTGTCCAGATACACAAACCAACAACCCCCAAAACAGTGGCCATTGGGCGCCTGCGAGAGAGGTATACAACAATCTTTCGGGAAGGCCTTGGTAAGTGCACGAAGCTACAAGCTTCACAGTTCCTTAAGTCCGATGCCGTTCCAATGTTTCGCACGTGACGCCCTGTACCTTACGTAGCAACAATAATGATTGACCAAAAGGTTGCTCGCTTAGAAAGAATGGGAGTTCTCCACCCGATGAACCACTCCCTTTGGGACCCAGGAAGGACCTGATGAACTTTGACTAGTAGCCACGAAAAGGAAGGCATTTGCAGCCACGATGATGCACCGATCGGGTGTGAAGACACGTCATCAGAGTACACCTGGACCCATGGCGGACGTCGCGCGTCATTTTGCGCGAGGAAAGTGTTACGGAGAGCGAACGCATATGCCGAGAAGCGTGGCGCAGCATTGGATCGATCTACAACTCGAGTAAAGATCAAAATGCGAATCTATATGGTATCAACGACAAGTCGGACCATCGACTTGAACCGTTTGATTTGTGTTAATTACTATTAGTTCGCATCTCTGGTTTTGATTTTTTTAGTGGTTTCCTACAACCTATTTATTGCGCCCTGCTCTCCTACATTAAAATCAGAATCCGAATCCCGGGGTCCGGCTGGTTTTTGCGTTCTCATTTCGTTGTGGGATTGAACTGGTTGGGGCAGCACATCAGATTTCAGGCTGGTTATTCGTACTGTCAGCGGAAACCACAACAGAAACGTGTTCCGATAGGCACTGAGTTCCGGCTTGTCCGGAACTCCATGGGACGACCCCTGACAAAGATTCTTCGAATCTACCGGGAACCTTCGTGGTTGACAAGGACCCGTGAGATGGAGAACGCCAGTGCTGTTGGGAACAGTTGAGTGCTGTTCCAGTTCATCCGGAAAACAGGTCCGTGAAAGCCATGATTTAGCGAGACATTAGCTGAGAAAGACTGGCAGTTGCTCCGTTCTCAGTCTTATCGACTGAACCGCTTACGTAAGATTTCGAAGCGTAGTTCTGCAGGCCTGTTGTGGCACTGCCGCTTGTCGAATTGCCTGAACCGACGTGGGATGTTGATGTCACACCTACTTTGGAAGGTATTCGACATGAGCTTTCCATGTTGAAACGGAACAAGGTCCTTTTGTCCGACGGCCTTCATCTTTACTGAGAGATGGTGGTGACTCTTTGTTGATGGAATTCGCTTCTCTATTTAACACAATTTGGGACACTGAAGGGGCGTCTTCTGACCGGCGACTGTCGATTCTCGTGTCCATCTTCAAGTGAGGTCAGTGTACTTTGTGCGAAAATGATCGAGGCATTAACCTTCTTTCCGTTGCCTCCAAACTTCTTACAGTCATCATTCTCCGACGACTTGCTGGTCCCTATGAGAACTAAATCACAGAAAGCCAGGCTGGCCTCAGTCCTGGTCGTGGTTGTATTGACCACATATTTACTCTTCATCAAGTTTTAGAGCAGAGACACCTACACACGACCGACTATGGTCGTTCTCCTTAACTTGAAAACCGCCTTCGACTCTGTGGACCGCGCCAGCTTGTGTCACTGCCTATCCATGAAGGACGTGCCGATTAAATCCTTTTGCATTATGAAGTCTATTTAACGTGAATCCCCGGGCCGTGTAAGGGTCGACGGGAAATTGTCTCCGAATTTCCCTACGAAAAGTGTGGTTCGCCAGGGTTGTTCTATACCTACTTTACTCTTCAATTTTGATGTCGAAATGACCATGAATGACCCGGTTCTTTCAGTCTCTACCGGATTGGAAGTTTTGCCGGGTGACCGACTGATAATCCTTGTATATGCTGACAACAGTTCTTCTTGGGTCTGACCCAGTGGCTATTCAGACACCACTGGAGAGACTGACGCGTAGCGCTGCACGGTTCGGCATGTGTTTTGCACATTGGAAGTGCAAAGTAATGCTACAGGACTGGACCGATACGCCACCACGGGTTCTAGCCATCAGCGGACAATCACTGGAATTGGTGGATGCCTTCATTTATCTGTGTAGGTTTTCCACCTCTGATGGCCAAACCTTTGAGGAAATTACTTCTCGTATCAGCAAGGCTCATGTGGCTTTGCAGAAGCTCAACCGTCTATGGAGACGGCGGGATATCATCCTGTCAATGGAAGATAGTGTGTAAAACGCTGCGGTAGGGCCGGGCGTTACGTATGGTTCATAGCCCTGGCCAGTTCGCGATGAAGCTATTAAACGCTTGGTCG